TCGAATGACGAATGGTCGATGCGAATTTCTCGTTAGGAAGGTCCAGCAGCATCACTACTACTTCATGGTTTCGGTGTACTGGGGCCAACACTCAAGGTCCTTCTAAGTCAAAATGAGGAAGTGATGGGTAAAACTACCGTCAGTAAGAATCATATCATCGGGGCATAGTCACCAAAAGTTTGACAAATCAAGTCGTTTGCCCGCGACGTTTCGGGGTTTCGGGATCAGCGAGTAAATTTCTGTAAACGACCTATTTACAGTACCAGTAGTTGACGAGCTTGGCCCATGTGATTACTTGGTTGGAATTCCCGTTTTTACCAGGTCGTGCACATTGGGGCGCGGCGCCCCGACTGGCCATCACCTTGACATACCCAGCTGCAACGGACCCAGGCCACAGGCAGCGCGCCGCGGGCAACCAGAAAGCTATGTCGGCGGGCAGTCTTCGTGTAGCTACTTACATGCAGGAGCATCCCGACGACGCAGCGGAAATACGGGATGAGCTCAAGTTTTGGAACGAAGTCATGGACCACCAAGTACCCATGATTAAGGAACGGGCCGAGGCAACGTTGCCGTTTCTAACGGCTCTCGAATGGGGTCCTCTGTTTACCAACACGAGCCCCATCATGTTCTGTCCTCCGGGGCTTGATCCCCTCGATGTACGCTGCTCATTTCCTACGGCCAAACCATCCTCCCATCTTCACGCGCCCGGACAGCATACGAACACCGGCCTGGGCAACAAATCAATCTGGTTCGACCGGACCCGAATCCTGCCTTCTCATTTGTCCAACCATGTCCACCATTGAATTCACTCGTGTTCCCCATCCGTCACTGGCTGCTGTTGCCCACTGACACGGCTTGGGTACCTCCGCCAAAACCGTCGCCGACACTGACGGACGACGATGCGAACAAAAGCATACCGATGTGTCCTACCGCAGCACCCAAGCCAAACCCACCGGTTCACGAACCGGAATAACGACGACATGACGGCGCATGCTGCCATCCAGCCTAAAGCCCACCTGTTCCCAATCCGTCACTGGCTGCCGTCACCCACCGATACGGTTTGGACACCGCGGCCGAACATGACATCGCCGAAACCGTCGAAGACACCGACGGATGTACACACGGACTACAGAAAACCGCTGTGTCCGCCCGCAGCGCACTTGACCGACTCACCGTACAACCGATTCATCGGCCTCAACACAACCGACATGACGGCGTATGCTGCCATCCAGCCCAAACCCCACCTATTCCCAATCCGTCACTGGCTGCCGTCACGCAACGACATGGCATGGACACCCCGGCCGAATATGACATCACCAAAACCGTTGCCGACACCGACGGATGTGAAGACGAAATACAGCAAACCGCTGTGACCCACAATCTCGCACTTACCCGGTGCAGGCGTGCCAGTTCCATATTCCATACACGCTATCCCGAATATCGACCGAGGGCATGGCATGGCTAAGAAGCTCGCTCTTTACAACCATGTCGTCGACCTTACGCTTAAGCCACCGACAGCTCACCGCAACCACCACTCGCTCAGCACGAGCCGTTCCCCAACACCGAGTGGCCTACTCCAGCTCGTTGACATTACCGCTGTCAGCGCCCACAACAAGCTCCGTCCTATACAACTTGTAGGGCCGCGACGGCCTCCATGCAAACCAATCTACAGTACTCGGCTTCAGTAGCCCCCGCTGAGGCTAACCCGACGAAACCACAACAGCGAACTAGTAGGCTTTGACAAGTCCCAATGCACACCGCACACTAACGATGGCCCGACAGACTGAGGCCGCTGCACGAACCACCCCGGTGTGAACATGCACAAGCTCCATCCGCTAGATTAGTCTAGTTCGCGGGCGCTGCTGCATATGCGCGCGCTCGTGCGATAGCGAGCTTGTAAATACCGCTTAATTTCAATTTCAATTGATTACTTGGTTTATGCTAAGATGCAAAACTAGTAAGACGACCAAGGTCGGGGGCATGTGCGACGGTACCCGAGTCCAGCACTTCCACCAGAGCGCCCACTACGCCAAGAACAACCACTACCTATGCTGCGACAAGATGAGGACCAAGTCATACTGCATGACCATCGCCCAGGCTCAAGCGTGCGGATATGAGCAAGGGATCGCATTCTACCGGTAGTACTGTAGCTCACAATCCAATAGCTGCAGCATACAGCTATCAATGTCCTATTGGCCAGTTATTTTCACTTTTCTATCATATAATTAAATTTGGTATATGGCAGCCTGCCTTACGAATTCATCAAAAAGATACGTTTAGAGGAATTTAAATTATTCCATACAGAGATGAAGCTTCATTCAATAAAATTTGAACAATTTCAGATCGATTTATGGAATTCGTAAGGACTGTTTCACCTTACGAATTCTGTATTACTAGTATGGACGTTGGCGATGTATCCGGAAATATTATCCGGACACTCCGTTTGCTCTCTTTCAGCATGCAAACTCGCCGCCGTGGAGGCGTCAAGGATGACGTCGGGGAACGCGTGATTGAGATCAACGACTCACCCAACGTGGACATTCTGCAGCGACTGCCACGACGACGCCAGCAGACGGTGCGCTACATAGAGTCCCTCGATGCCTACGTACGTTGCACCCGTGGAATTCGTCGACAAACATGTAACCATTGTTCTGTAGAGCCATGCACCTGCAGAGGAGGAAGATCCGAATTCATCGCACGATGAAACGGCATCACCCTTGTACCAACATCATCCAAGCGCGAGGCGCACTTCGAGTCCTCCCTCGGCGGATGAGGACGACGACGACGATCAAGTCGACGGCGAAGTTGACGACCAAGGATCGTCGGACAACGACCCCGACACCGCCGAAGACGAATCGGAATCCCCGAGTCCCGACGTAAAGCTGGAACGTCCAGAATCGGCCCGTCAAGCGTACATATATGTCGATTGAACATGTACTTTCTTGCCTGTTGTGACGCATGGTCTAGGCATGCATCGTCCCGCCGGAACGTGCGCTCTGCTGCCGAGCCCACGCAAGACGAGATCCGGTACATACACATACTATATCGTCGACATATCCTTGACGTCCTTGTAACATTAGACATTCGACAACCCGCTGACGATTGCGATCATCCATCGAGCCCGAGGAAGTTCTAGACACGAGATACATAACTCCATGCTCACATCACGTTTCAGTTCTAGACACGAGATACATAACTCCATGCTCACATCACGTTTCATTTCGTGTCTGTAGCGCCACAGTTGGGTCTGGGGATGCCACTGCGCGCAGACTATCGACGCGCCACCGACGATCTGGAGTCGGCGACACAGTCCCGACCCACCGTATGTCGTCCTCGTCTCATGCCATGATGCTCATGTCTTTTCTTGATCACTTGCGTATTTCCTACAGACTGGGTAGCCCTTTCGCGGCTTTGGTGGGCCAAGGCCATGCAGAGGACGCCACTGCATTCTCGTCGCGCTATCCATCTCGCCGCCGGGTGCAGTCATCCGATGCCGACGATGCGTCCGTATCCACCCCCGAATTCCCTTCGTCATGCGACTCGGTACACAACCAACTATATCCTCTCTTTAAGGCATATATACAGTAGTCGTTTGGCTCACAGGATTTCCTGACATATATATATCCAAGTTCAGAGGTCTCGTTGGAAACGTTTATTCGTTTCCGCCAATCGCATCGCCCCGTTTCCTTCTTTTTATCCAATCAAATGCCTTTTTTCCATTACTAGTAGTTCGAATCTACGTGCAGATTGTACACACTGCCCGCCATGGCCCACAGCGACGGTCGTTTGACGATCCACCAAAATCCAATCAGCGTTTGAATCCCGCGCGGCGGCTCACGGTACGCCCTTTGGTCTGGGCAGCGCGACATGCCGACGACCACCTCGCCGAAACGGTCCAAGAATGACAACAATGGCTTTCACCGATCGACCAAGAGCTACTCCCTTCGCGATCGTTCGACCCTTCGCCGCCACGATGCATCCAACACGAACCTCTTTGACGACTTTGGCGACGTCCCGCCGCCTCCGAAACGGTCCAAACATCATGCAGATGACTGGGCACCGTCGAAACACACGTACACGTTGTCGAGCTCGTCATCCTCATCATCGGCATCGTCTTCCGAAATGCAACGGATTAGCAAAAAACACTCGCCAAAAAGGCGGCCAAGACGCCGACATTTCCCCCCTGGACATTGATCCGTCCATCACGTGGGACTCGATCGGCGGACTCGAAGTCGCACATCCACGCGCTCCAGGAAATGGTCCTGCTGCCGCTGCTGTACCCCGAATTCTACGCCAAGTTTGCACTCACGGCCGCCCTCGGGCGTGCTGTTTTACGGTCGCAAGACGCTCTCGCCAACTCGACCAGCAACCAGCGCATCACGTTTTACATGTGCAAGGGCGGCGGCTGTCTGAGCAAATGGGTCGGCGAAGCCCAGCGCCAGCTCCGCGTGCTGTTTGAACAGGTCAAAAAGACCGAGCCGAGCATCATCTTTCTTGACGAAATCGACGGCCTCGCGCCGGTCCGCAGCGCCAAGCAGGATCAAATCCACGCGTCCATCGTGTCGACGTTGCTGGCGCTCATGGACGGTACGTCAGCTACTACATTGTGATGCTGAATATCACATTGTACAGGTATTCCAACAGTGTAGACAACACTTGTTGATATTGTGCGCTCTGCCAAAATGTGGATATGTATCATTCACCAAATCCATTGGTCGAATTGTTGTACTGAATTTTGAATGTACAATTCGTAAAACCATGCACACTATTTGTGAAGTCACACTATAATCCGATAATCGTTGCCGGCGTTTGAGTGGCCAGTTGAAAGTGTCAGGTTTTGATTGGTCGGTCCATTGTCTGTCGATTTGGGATGTGCTCGTTCGATTGAGCAGCACCCCACACTCCATATTCGAATCGACCTGTTCATATATTCAATCGTGTCGAAACTCATGTGCTGGAACCACGGGCTTGGTTGTAATATGGACTGTTAATCACGGGCAACATTGAAAGCAAGTGATGTATATATATATATATATATATATATATATATATATATATATGTGTGTTAGGGCTGGATTCTGAGGCCGAGTGGTTGTGATTGGAGCGACGAATCGTATCGACGCCATCGACCCCGCGCTTCGGCGACCAGGTACACATCATCACCACAAACATATATATTTTCGATTCATCTGCCAACATTTGTTTCGGGGTTGTTGCTATGCTTTGCCAAATACTCCATCGATATATATATATCGTTTTGTTTCAGAATGTTGTGTATGAAAGCAATACGTGTCCCAGCGGGGGGATGTTCATCACATACAAACGAATATCAGGCACACGCACGATACTCGTTGTTGATTTCTAATGTATTCCTCCCTTTTGATTCACTGCCTATTCTTCTGCACGTCATTTTTGGTTGTGTACGTCGTCGGTCCAGTACAACCACAACAATATAGACAAACACCACAATATATATATATATATACCTCTCGATAGTATACTATATATATATATGTGACCACCCACGATTGTTTATTCCTAGGCCGATTCGACCGCGAGTTGGCGTTTAGCCTACCAAATGCCTCAGACCGCGTGGCGATGCTGGGACCAAGCAGTGGCAGCCGCCGCTGTCGACGTCATTCAAGGACCAACTGGCCAAGGACCTGGTCGGCTACTGCGGCGCCGACATCAAAGCGCTGTGTGCCGAGACCGCCTCGTCGTGTTCAAGCGGGCCTTCCCCCAAGTGTACGACACGCCTGCCAAGCTGGACGTGGATCTGAGCCAACTGCATGTGCTACGCGGGGACTTCCACGCCGCCCAAGCCAAGATCGTGCCAGCGGCCGCGCGGTCCCAGTCGGCAGTCGCCACGCCGCTGCCGCCGCTCCTCGCATATTTATTTATATATTTACAGTAATAGAGCATTCCAAGCATACTATAAAACATCTGGATAATAGTTGGTGAGGAACATCTCAAGTGTCGAAGTGGTTAACACTATACCGGAATCACGTCGCTACGTAATAATCAGCCTGCAGTCAATCTGCACCAAGGCGTTCATTCGTCGGTCGGTGTACATGTAGTCAGCTAACCATCAGCAGCAAAACGAAATTGTTGCTCAACATGAAACCATGAACAAATGATCGAGGTCTGGTGAGTAGAGGCGATAGTGATTAAGCCGTTGCAAATTTGGCCCAAACTTAATCGGAAATTGCAGATCCTCTGTTCAGCACATGACACAATGCGGTTTTATACTTATCATTAATGGAGCATATACCAAAATCCAGTTTTTCCCTCATCTCCCAGGGTTGTCACACGCGCTAGGCGTAGCGGCAGCGGTGATATGCTTGGGGATGATGTTGAGAGGGCAAATATTTGTGGTTGCAGCAGTCGTCGTTAGGGCGTCAGCAGGCTCGGGGGTGAAGTCGGAATCGGAAGGAACGATCACAACGATCTCTCGGACCTCGGGCAAGGCTGCGATGCTGCAGATGTCTTTCTTGGTCAAGGCGTCGCACTGAAACACCCCCCCAACAGCGTCGAGGGTGACGCATTTGGCATGGTTGTACAAGCTAGTGTGCCCGCTCACGTGGGAAACGAGGTCAAGGGCCACAGCCACATTAGCGGTGGACGATTGTTGTAGCCATTGAACCACGCTGGGCGTTATTTTATCCTGGGAGGCCGTGGTGGTAGGGGCAGCCGCGGTGGTGTTATGCTTAGGGATGATGTTGAGGGGGCAAAGATTTGTGGTTGCAGCAGTCGTCGTTAGGGCGTCAGCAGGCTTGGGGGTGAAGTCGGAATCGGAAGGAACGATCACAACGATCTCTCGGACCTCGGGCAAGGCTGCGATGCTGCAGATTTCTTCCTTGGCCAAGTCATTGCACTGAAACCCACCAATATTGTCGATGCTGAAGCATTTGGCATGGTTATTCAAGCTAGAGTGCACGTCCAGATAGGAATCGAAGTAAAGCGCCACAGCCACATTAGCGGTGGACGATTGTTGTAGCCATTGAACCACGCTGGGCGTTATTTTATCCTGGATGGCAGCGGCCACGGCCGCGACGAACAAGACGACAGCAGTTTTCGCCATGGAGTCAATTCGAGAATGAGAGGAACGAGTCGCAAAACGCATACTAGTATGACAGAGGTGGCAAGATAACAGCCACCACCATGCGGTTGCACATTGATTTGGGTGTGTATGGCGGTCAAAACTGGGTCAGTGTCTGTCCAGCAAGAATTGTCACATTTGTTACGTGTGAAAAATCAATTTTCAATGAATGTAAGATTCTGTAAGTAAATTGGTACTACTGTACGTAGTATTTATCGAGAAAATATGGTAGAAATTGGACAAATGTTCTGTGATTGTGTCACGGATGAAAAACATTGGCAAATACTTCGTACAATATGGCTGTGTGAATTGGAAATTTCTAATCAGGTCCGAAATAGCTGTCATGTATTAGACTTCAAAATGAGGTGACAAACGTTTTTTGCACAGATTTTAGAAATCAAAGACCCGCCAGCCTCGCAAAATCCACTTCAACATCGTTAAAATCTTGGGTAATCGCCAACATGTGAGTATCTAACAAGTGAAAACTTCGACAATATGTGAGTAAGTACTTAGTACTACGCGTACTTAACAAGGTCAAATTGGATGATGTTTATTGTACAGTATTAATAACGTTAACGTTATTAACACATGTAGTAAAGACAAACCAACGGCAGATGGAAAGCAACAGTGAGGTGCCCGACGAGAGCAATGGAGACACGATGAAGGCGCTTCCCGAATGAAACGTCATTCCCCTTTCAAGGTTGAGTCGCGTGTCTCCATTGCACTCGTCGGGCACATCAGTGTTGCTTTCCATCTGCCGTTGGTTTGTCCAAGTCGGGTATTTGGGAAATATTCTTATTCCAAATGGTCCAACTTAATTTCATTGGCTAAAAGCACTGGAGTAAAACGAACTTTGTTACATAGGGCCTATTCCAAGTAGATATTTTTAGCAAGTGAAGAAGTGGCCCCAAGTATTGTGGATTCGGTACGATTTTCCAGACCCCGTCGAATCGAATCTCGCCGAATCGAATCACGAATCGACGCTATTGGCTAATCCATTTTTGAGTGGATTTGACCGGCTCTTACTGAAAGGACAAGTATAGTCAGCCAATCAGAAATTCCAGCGTGATTCGATATTCATTAGAAAACAACGCGAATTTGGGTAATATACAGCGAATTCACAATACAGTTTCCAACATTTTTACCTCTGTTTCTGCGATATTTTACGCAGCTGACTATACCAAACCTCGACTTCATTTTCTAAATCGTGAAAAAAAAAGAGGTAAATTAATTTTGATTGGCTCATGCTATTTCTGAAAACTACTTGGAACTTCCCCTTACTGTTAACTGTAAAACGCATGGCGTCTTATTCCTTGCACATTTTATCAAGTCCACTACCGACGGTGGAGCCAAGAGGCGCTGGCATGCTGCACAAGACAGATGGGCGCAGCGATGTCTTTGATCATAATACTTTGATGAGATTATAGTACTCATGCATGTTGGCGATTACTCGTAGAACACAAGTTTCTGTGCGAGCTCAGCTGCTGTCATGGTAAACACGAAATATGAATGTACGGATTTAATGATTACAGCCCAGTACTACTGTAGTGCTGCGAGATTGACACTGTACAGTTAATGATTACTACAACTGTGCTGTAATCATTAACTGTACAGCACAGAACTACAAACCTTACCTTCAAAACAGAATAATTCCCTCATTAACTACCGGTAGGTTGTTTCTATGGTGCACTTCATCTAAAAACTTTCAACTGGCCAAATCGTCACTTCTATGGTGCACTTCATCTAAAAACTTTCAACTGGCCAAATTGAAGAGTGGAGGTTTTATTATTTAACGTGCAATTAATGTAGTTAAACCCAAAATCCAGATACCTTAAGTACCGATTTAATGTGTTTTATCACTGGAGTGGGAGGTTAAAGGTCCCCCTTGCCTCCGGATATTAAATACGGATAAGAGTCACATACAAAAATCAAGATACATTTGAGCGGCCACCCCTATGGCCAAATATCCAAGCGCCCATGTAAAATACCACTAGGTTAAATATCTATTTCTGGACCAATTCATCACCAAATTTGAATCTAAGACGTAGAATTTCTTTACCACATTGAGATCTGTCGATTATACGTCTCAATTTGCTGCAATTTTGAGTAATGAATATGAAATAGAAGTCAGAAAATTTTGTGAAAAGTTGGTAGTTTATAGATGACGTGCACCATATGGTAAAAGTATAGGTGGACCAGGATTATTCAAAGAGCCTCACTGAAACATGTTAGACAGTGTTAGACATGGGCTATCAGGATACAAAACTTGTTCCCCTGGCAAGTGTCAGAATATATCACGCATGCGAAGTGTCTCCATATGTAGCTCGAAGTCAAGAGGCTCTACCACTTGCACAATCAAACTGTAGAGGGAATGTATGGTGGTAGGAACATTGAGGCAGTGTTATGCGATATGAAGACCAAGGCTTATGTCAGGTCTTCATAACTTATGTTTTGTGTGGTTGTGTGTGCTGTGAGGGGTTTGGGATGATGTAGCCTTGGCTTTCATTCCTGGTTTTACCTCGAACTGAGCTCTATCTTTGTGTGCGTGTTCTACCCCCTGCCCCCACCCCGCGGCCTGTTCAACATGTCAAGTACACCATGGCTGCGAACCCCAAGGACACTGTCGGCATTAATCTGCTCGTGTTCAACGGGAAGAAAGACCAGTTTCGCATGTGGACCGATAAGTTCGTTTCACACCTTAAAGAGATGACTGTCGCGCTGCAAGGCCAATGGCTCGCGTCGACTACCCATGACCGCCCGGAGCCAACCATCAAATTCGAGGACTGGCTGCAAGGCGATCCACCAGTTGCGACCGACCCCGACGAGAAGCGCGCGAAGTGGCATCAGTACTACCGTACTATGCAAGTGCAACAAATCCGCACTTTATTGAGCAAGGTTTTGCCGGACCAATTTGTCCAGCAAATGAAGGAGTCGTACTCTGAAAAGGAACCAATCTACCGTCTCTGGGCGGAGATCGAGAAGAAGTATGGTGTGTCTAACGTGACCACCATGAAGACCGCCACGCGAAAGCTAATGCGTGTGGCCGACGGCGACTTCCAGAGTGTTGAGGCTCTATTTGGCGAGCTGCGGACGTTGAAGCACTCAATCAACTCCCACTCGCAAAAGTACTTAAAGAGGGATGTTGTGAGCGATGATCTCCTGATCCTCATGGTGTTGGGTGTGCTGCCATCTGAGTTCTTTGGCGCGCAAATCGTCCTGGACACGGCGTCGTTTCGGATTGTGGACGTTGAGGCCAAGTTGATTGGGATTTTCGGATCCAAATCAAAAAGGGACATTATGGGAATGGGCCAATCAGCGACGTCCAAAGTCGCTGGCCAATTACACCGCACCAACTCAGTTGAAGTGAACAACGTGGCTAATGGGAAGCGAAAGTCCTCGAGTTACGTCACGGGTGGTACCGGCGAGTGTTTTTACTGCTTTGGGAAATCCAACTATCTAACCGGTGGTGCCAAGCACGTAAAGAAGGGGTGTCCTACGCGTAAGGAGGACTTTGAGACTCGGGGCTTCCGCTCCAACATCAATGAGCCGTTTAAGCCGAAGGTTAAGCGCCACAAGGCGGAGGTGGCTGTCGATCTTGTCGAGCAGTTCGACCGCGACGCCGGTTACAAAATCGCGAATCCGGATGCTGGTCCGGATACCAATGTCCAACTACCGGAGGACAGTGAACCTGGTTTTGTTGACTTTGGTGGGTGGAATGCGGGTGACATGGATGTCAACCTAGTTGACACCGAACCCAGCCTTGAGCGCCTCTCGAGTGAGGTTGATGCGATCACGGCGAAGATCGATGACATGGTGAGGTGCTGTTATCCACATCTATTGACTGACAGGACTATGTCTAGTAGGGAATGGGCTCTTGACGGTGGCTGCGGCCATCACCTTACGTACGACTCAAGTAGTTTTAAGGCGACAAAGCCAGACACCAGTCTTGTCTTTAGGTTCAGTCAAGGTTCTAAACTAATGAATTCACACTTGGGTACAGTGAAACTTTGGTTTGACACACCGAGTGGAATAACAGCATTCTCATTTGACAATGTCGCTTTAGTTCCCAATGTGAAGTCGAATATACTTAGTGAAAACGCTCTGAAGAAGGAGGGATATACTATATCTGAGAGTATGTGTGGCAACTATAAGTATGTGTTCAAGATGAATGTCCTGCAGTTTGTGGGGGTTGCTATTAATGGGGCATACTACGTCCGGAGTTTTTCGTTATCAGACAGACAAGTGAGATGTGACCAAGTCAAATTGGCAAAGTACAGTAGAAAGGTGGGAGCTAAAGAGGCAACCCTTATCTTACAGGAATGGCATGTCCGCTTGGGACATCTAGCTAAGGATGCTGTAGTAACAATACTAACTACGTGTATTGTACATGGTCTTCCCATCATAACAAAGGATACCTTTAAGGACATTAAGCTGTTTTGTCACACATGTGCTACTATGAAAGATCGAAGGATGTCGTTTCGAAATAAGTCCGGTTCTCGATCGACAGAGAATTTGCATACGTTGCACATGGACACATGTGGTCCAGTAAAACAAAATGGTATTTATGGCACTCAATCTAATATTAGGTATGGATGCATTATGATTGACGATCACTCGTCGTACCGATGGGCGTTTGTCTTTCAACAGAAAACAGATGTACCTAAATCAGTTAAAGAATACATTGCTCAAATTGAGCGTGAAGGCAAAGCTCTGGTAAAGCGTATTCGCTCAGACGGAGGAACAGAGTTTGATAATAAGAGTCTACTGACCTTCTACAAAGGTCTTGGGATTAAGTACCAGAAGTCAAATCCCTACTACAAGGAGGAGAATGGAAGCTCAGAGAGAGACTTCCAGACTAAGTTTAGCAAAATCAGATGTGCGCTTCTGGAATCCCAGATGCCTGCCAAATGGTGGCCTGAGGCCTTCCACTATATGAACTATGTCCAGAATAGAACACCAATGGCAAGACTAGGCAACAAGTCTCCGTATGAGGTTCTCTACGGAGTACCACCTAATG